GCTTGGCTGGGCGGTCCTGCGTCGTGGGGTAGTTACGGCGGGCACCGTGTCACGGCGCAGCGAGGCGCTGGAGGAGAAAAACGCTGAGGATCGTTTGTAAAATCTGTCGTTTTGGCTGGAACTGAGAAAATTGTGACTTTTTGTTTGGTAGTATTCATGGTATTGTCTGGCTCCCTTCTCCACCCTTGGCGCAGGAGAGGTGCCAGCAGCGAAGGTTTTGAGGCCCGGGGTGTGAGGTTTTGGTAGGGTTATGGTCCTTGTTTGCCATCATTTTGTCACGTTCTCAGGAAGCATGGGAGGAGCTGAATTTTACTCCCGGCTCGCTGCTACGCTGCATTTAGGGACACCAGGAGTGTTAATCCATCTCTGACGCTTGACACTTTCCGTTACTAATACTGCTTAAATGGCTCATGGAGACTGGTAGATCTGAGTCCGCATCCGCATCCAGAATATCTGAAAACATGAACAAACGACACGGAGTCAGTCTCTTTAAAGGAATTTTAGGCCCTGCACACAGAGCTCTCCCAGAAAGACTGAAGACCGGTAGCCAGGCAGAAATTTGATGAACGTGGTTGCGTGCTATAGCGAGACAGACTTTGGCTGCGCAGCCTGTTTGTGTTCTGCTCACGCTGGAAAGATTGGGGAATTAATTTTTTTTTTTCATATAATGGGTATGTCAAGTAGCTGCAGAGAAAATATATTAATAAGCGGTCTTGTTTCTTACTTGGGAGTCTTTTCTGAGCTCTCTACTAGAAATATGGGCATAGGGCGCTGAGTGGATGTGTTTAAGGTGCTGAGAGCGTGCAGCTTGGTGGGCGCCTGGTTGAAAGTGTCACGAAGTCTGCTCTGTACGGAAAGGACGTGCCAGATCAGGGCAGTTGGGGCGGTTGTTGCAGGTGGGCACGGGGTTTATTTTTCATCTGGTCACGAGAAAATTCACAAGATACAAAGAAGGGGATGTCCGGGAGAGTGCCTTGTGTGCAGTGCTGCCTGACGGCGCGGAGGAGCACCGTCTCGTTCTCGGTCTCTGTTCTGGCCCTCAGTGGGTAAGACGTGACTTCTGCTCTCAGCAGCGTCTTCAAGGCTTCGTTTATTAAAAGGGGAGACTTGTGGGGCCAGGGATCTCAGCTGCGATGTATCGTTGCAATGCTACTAAAAGCAGTTGCTCTTGTGTGATTTACACGTGAAGAAATCTGGCAGATTTCTGTCGGTTTAGGGATCCAGTCCTCCACCTTTCCCGGCGTGGCGTCAGCAGAGCTGCTGCTGTGGGAAAAGACGGCCACAGGACCGGTCACAGAAACATCAGCTGGAGCCCTCCAGAGTGTGGGCAACTCCCTTTTCCTTGAAATTTGTGATTGAAACTACTGAAAACGTGACGTTAAAAAGAAAGATTTTGAAAAATAGTAACTATTAAAACCGTAATATGCATAGTAAAACCATAAAACGGGAAAAGATATGCTGGTGTGTTTATTCCAGAGATGCAAATAAAATACCATACCTAGCCTTCATTTCAGTAGGAAGTGATAACAAGCCGTAGATGTTAATGGCGGAGAATTTCTGTAGAAAGAGTAATTTACTACGAAAGAGTCCACTGCAAAAAGTGGTCTTTGGTGTGATTTGTTTCTATTATTGCCAGTACTGCTGATTAATAACACACATTTTCAGTTAATTTTGGATCCCAGCATGCCCTTTAATCTTGCATTGTTTCTTTTGTCTTGCTATTACAGAAAAATATATATTGTATCCTGAGGCCCAATTCCAATTACTATAAGTTAATCTATTAGGTGATAAAGCACTACATAGGCTGAAAATGTGTATGTGAAAGTGAAGATGTATCTCAGGATTTGCTGGGGTTTGGTTACCTTGAAATTATGTTCTTTATAAATCTCAAAGCATGTTCTCTGTCTATTTGTGATAACTAAGGCTTTGTTTTGGATGTTGTCCCAGGTATTACGAAACCGGGAGTATTAAGCCTGGAGTGATTGGAGGATCAAAACCAAAGGTCGCCACACCCAAAGTCGTTGAAAAAATAGCAGAGTACAAACGCCAAAATCCCACCATGTTTGCCTGGGAGATCAGGGATAGACTCCTTGCTGAGCGAGTGTGTGACAACGACACGGTGCCCAGCGTCAGTTCAATTAACAGGTAAAGACCTGTCTGCTCCTGGGGAGGGATGCGTCTCGGAAGCACTGTCTCCGAATCCTCGTTTGTTAGTAGGGTTGGGTGTTTTGGGCTGTTCGCAAGAAATGCAGCTGGCACGTGTTTCCCTGATGCGTTTGGGGCTGGGGAGCAGCTGTGGGCTCACCTCGGCGGCCAAAGCATCACAAATTATGAGCACTGCCCGGAGGCGGGCAAGTTCTGCTGCTGGCCGTGGCTTCTTTCCCCT